ACCATAGAGAGAAGATGAAGAAACTACACTGAACCAGGTCCAGAAGCTTTCAGTAGTTAAACAGAGAGAAACTGACCAACTGAAACAACAGTTGGAAGAAGAAGCAGCCCAAAATGTTGGCAATAATAACCAATCTGATTGTTCCTTCAAAAAGTAGCACAAACAGATAACAAAAATGACTCAACAACAATCATTACAGCAGGTTTATATTCAACCAAAGACAAATGTAAAGTCTTCGTGCTTCTACAAATTAAGGAATGATTCAACACTAACTTTGACTTCAATGCATGTTTATTTAAATTTTTGAACATTGTCATTGTTTAATAGCTTTTAGTTGCTTTTTCTTTCCTTTGACTAGATGGTAAATTTGTTAATATTTCTAGCTGATTAGGAGACTTATTGCATTTCAAATGCATGTCCAAAGGCTGCTAGACAATTATGAAGCGTAGACTATAATAGACATTACCATCTGACAGCACTGTGGGTGGCAGAGAACCACACAGTACTGTTACAACTGTCTTTCGCAAGGCCGACTTTCAGAAACTCTTTGTGTAAGTAACAAAGTCTGTTCTGTAGTCGTGTGCCTCTTTGACTCACATTCAGGCATCAACTGGTCTTTCTGCAAACTGGACCCACACAACCTCACGCTGACCTCAATGACAGAGCTGCTAGTCCACAGTCACACTCCTGGACAGTGACAAAAACTTGTAGCAGCAGCTTGGGTCTTCATGGTTCCCAGAGAATTACAAACTAAAGAAAAGGATCCAGACAAAATCAAATCAAACCGTACAGATGGAAGAGTCCACACCCACGCTTAGTATGACTAACAAAAAACTTATATCTGCCAGTTAAACGTGCCGTTCAGATCACAGTCTAAATACAAGTAGTACTACCAATCCACAATAGCAAGTTATAGAGATTTAATCATCCAAAATGTAAATATTTAAATAAGGTTTAATTCTCCCTAGCCTCAGGATAAAGCAAAATAATTCAAGCATCCTCCATTTGATTGAAATAATTCCAATTTGCATAAACTGAGACTGAAGCCCAAAATACTTGTCACACATGATAAAATAGAAATTAATTAACAGACATCTATTATTTTATACATATGGCATTTAAAAATGTCATTGAGCTTAGTACCTTAATATTGAATATATATAAATATATAATTTGTATAAAAAAAAATACACTTTCAGCAGGTTTTTATTCAGATTACATGAAATCACAGGTACCAGAATAAAACCTTAAAACACATCAATTAAAAGGAGGAGGCAGAGGCCAGCCCAAGATACATGAGCAAAGGTGCTAATTATGGGGGTCACACATGCACACTTATATGTGGAACCAGTTATATACGATCGGAGACTTTAATTATCTTCAGACGTTACATCCATTTAAGAGCTCTGCACTGCTCCTCCCAGGTTCTAGCCAAATCCCCCTTTGGGTGATCACAGTACTGGTTTCTAAAATCTTTAGACGTAGTGAGTGCAGAATGTGGTTTAGGTCGTCTCCAGTTACTGCCATACAGTTTCTTCCTTTGCTTTTGGGTACTTGATTGGCTGACTCTATCAGGTCCTAATGATAAAATGACTAAAATCAAAATGTTGGACTTCCTGTTATGTTACTATTTTTCCCCATAGCGGACATGTTTAGGTCCTCACAAAGGTCAAACATTTCCCTGACTAATATTAAACCGGCCGGATACAATGAGGTGCTTGCACTTTTAGGTGCAATGGAGAATACTCACTATTGCATGTCTTGCTGATCTATATCGTGTTGAAGCACCAACTAAAATTTCACCTACATGGGATGATGATTACCCAATTTTCCAGTATTGGTAGCCGGGAATCGGTCCGCCTGACTCACATTGCACCCGACCCCTACGGTGCCTCCTGCAGGTGGTGGGTCTGCAGGAAGATGGGCCTATGTCCCTTTTTCAGGCACAGCCCACCAGACACTTGCCCTCGGGCACCCTCTCCGGGCCTGGCTCCAGGGCTGTGCCCCGGTAACCCTATTCCGGGCAGGGTGAACTGTTCCCTCGATGGTCTTTTCATAGGGGTCTTCTGAATTACTCTTTGTCTGGTCCCTCATCCATGGGAGACCCTACCAGGGGGCAAAAGCCCCCAGACAACATAGCCCTTGGGATCCCTGGGACACACAAACCCCTCCACCACGATAAGGTAGCGATTCGCGGAGGGGGAGCGGGAGATCGACAGACGGATTGGTGCAGCGGCTGCAGTGACAGCACCGGTCCGTCGTGGTGAAGAGGGAGCTGAGTGTAAAAGCAAAGCTCTCAATTTACCAGTCGATCTACGTCCCTACCCTCACCTATGGTCACGAGCTGTGGGTAGTGACCGAAAGAACGAGATCGCGGATACAAGCGGCAGAAATAAGCTTCCTCCGAAGGGTGGCTGGCCCCTCCCTATTTGATGTCTTCAGTTTGCATCTACAATGTAGGAAGGGTAGTAAAAATAAAGAAAAAGCATTAAATGAGTAGGTGTGTCCAAACTTTTTACCTGTAGTGTATAACCTAGAAGATACAGATCAAATTTCAAAGTACTGTTAGTTATAGTAGGGCTGTCTTGGTCGACACGCCTCTACAATGTTCCATGGAGATCAGGGGTGGTAGCTCTGGATCGGCAGACCTGGTGGTGGTTTCCATCTTCAAAGAAGGGGATCGAACGGTGTGTTCCCACTACTGGGGAATCACACTCCTCAGCCTCCCTGGGAAAGTCTATGCCAGGGTGCTGGAAAGGAGAGTCTGTCCGTTAGTCCAACCTCAGATACAGGAGGAACAATGCAGTTTTCGTCCTGGTCGCGGAACACTGGACCAGCTCTTTATCCTCTCCAGGATACTTGAGGGTGCATGGGAGTTTGCCCAACCAGTCTACATGTGTTTCATGGACTTGGAGAAGGCATTCGGCCGTGTCCCTCGGACTGTCCTGTTGGAGGTGCTCTGAGAATATGGGGTGTCTGGCCCATTGCTATGGGCCATTCGATCCTTATACAACCGTTGCGAGAGCTTGGTCCAACATAACCGACAATAAGTCGGACTCGTTCCTGGTGGGTGATGGGCTCCACCAGGGCTGCCCTTTGTCACCGATTCTGTTCATAATTTTTGTGGACAGAATTTCTAGGTGCAGCCAAGTGGTGGAAGGCTTCACTTTATTGGTCTCAGAATCTCATCTCTGCTTTTCACGGATGATGTGGTTCTGTTGGCTTCATTGGCCTCCAGCTCGCAGTGGAACGGTTTGCAGCCGAGTGTGAAGCAGTGGGAATCAGATGAGGCACGCATCCAGTTCAGCCATCCAGGAGGGGCTCAGAGTAGAGCCGCTGCTCCTCCACATCGAAAGGAGCCAGCTGAGGTGGTTCGGCATCTGACAAGGATGCCCCCTGGGCGCCTCCTGAGCGAGGTGTTCCGGGCATGTCCCACCGGGAGGAGGCCCCAGGGCAGACCCAGGACACACTGGAGAGATTATATCTCTCGGCTGGCCTGGGAATGCCTTGGTGTTCCCCCAGATAAGCTGGAGGAGGTGGCTGGGGAGAGGGAGGTCTGGGCTTCTCTGCTTGGGCTGCTGCCCCCGCGACCCGGCCTCGGATAAGCGGAAGAAAATGGACAGATGGATGGATGGATGGATGGATGGATGGGATGATGATTATAATCTACTGCATATTTTCTGTTGCCACTAGGTGGCGCCATAATAGTGACCAATATTAGACGTCTGACAGTTTGGACTCAAGCATGCCCAGTTTTTGACAGACTTGACAATTGAGAAACCAGTTTCTGTCACCACTATGTGGTGCTGTGACTATTGTTAAAAGCTAACATAGTACTGGGTTCAGGGATGGACCCATATGACAGGTTTGGTCCAGATGGATGATGTATGTGAAACTGAGCAAATATAGTTCAAAAAGTTCAAAAAAAGCATCCTGTAGTCTCAGTATGTGAAACCTGTAAAATATGAACATTTTCTCTGTTACTGAAGCATGTGCACACACGGTCATGACTTTAGAATGTTGATTCATTCCATAAAATAATAATAATCCACGGAGCAGACACAATAACGCTTCTGCACTTTGTGCTGAAGACCTAAAACTGAATGAAGCAGACAGAATAGGGGTTTCGCACTAAATGGATCAGATACAATAGGATACAATAGGGCTCTTGCAATTTCAGTGCTCGGGCACCAACTATTAGACTACCACAGGTAGGGATGGGAGTCGAGAGCGAATTCTTGTAGAAAACCGGTCCCTAGAAGTCCAGTTCCTTGGAATTGTTAGTCTGCCTTATCAATGATTCCCCTTATCAGTTCGTGCACTCCTTCTACAATCAGCTAATATCAGTTCGTGTGTCAGACGAGGAAAACAGAGGCGCAGTCTACAGAGTGCATATAGAAATATAGTTTTATTGCACCAAAGGACGACAGCATGATGGTAAAGTGGAAAACTGCATCCAGGACATAAACAACCGCATTATGTTGCTAACACAACTTTGGTTCTTTGCAAGCTTCTGCACAGACAGCATGCTAATGCTAAGCTAGCCAAGAGCCCAGAGTGAAAGCTAAGTGAATGCCGACCCCAGCAGCCAGACCCTGAACTTCAACAGGTAACAAGCTGATGAGCAGTTAGGCTGCAAACTCCCGTTCTACCTGTTCATGTTTCTAAAGCAGAAAGACTCTCATGCAATTAATTTGCATCAATGTAATTTCTTTATTACTGCTTAGCAATCATGGTTACTCTGAAAACGGAGCCAATGAGAACCCAATGAGAATCAATAAGGAATCAAATCGATAAGTGATATCGATAACGGATTCGGAAGCGCTAAATTCTTATCAATTCCTATCCCTAAACTCCAGGGCTGGAGGTCTCAAAACAGTAAGTCGAGTAGGTCTTGGAAATGAAAAACATGCATATAGTTAACAATATTACTTCTCAATGATAACTGTAACTATACCAATGTTTAAAAATGGCCTGATGGACAATGTCCTCCATGTTACCTTCTCGGTGACACTCTGCGTGTTGATCTGCTTTCTCAGCTCCAGGCTCAGCTGCCTGAAGCGTGCTGACTTTTGCTCCGCCCCTTCGCTACACACAGAATTGCGATACGCCTGGATCACGGGTCGCTGCTTCTCAGGTACCAGCAGAATCTTGCTCAGCTCAGAGGACCTGTCCCCACAGGTGAGGTCCTCAAGTGTGGATGCAGTTAAGAGGCTGTCCTGTGAACAACAGAAACACTTTACATGACCAAAGGTCCTGATACGTTAGTCGGTAAAGTCTTTATAAAGACTTTCAGGCTCTGTGTGACACACACACACACACACACACACACACACACACACACACACACACACACACACACACACACACACACACACACACAGAAGGCAAGTATTAATATTTATATATGTATTGAAAATATGGATCTGTTTATTGTTAGTATATGTGGGCCAAATGTTGATGACCCCTCCTTTTTTCATACCTCCTTCTCTTCACTTTCACCTTCACTCTGACAGCAAGAATCAGAGGAACTGACAGTCTACACTCAAACAACACACATGTGATTTTGGTCTTTGCGATGTGGCGTTCACATCCCTCTCAGAGGCAAGAAAAAGGTCACACACTGGACTTGGTGCTTTCCCGCGGGCTGGATGTGTGCATCACGGAAATATCTGAGTTGTGCATCTCTGATCGTCTTCCTGTGTTGTTCACTCTAACGCTGCGCTGCTCGGTAGATAAGCCGTGCGCCCCAGCGCACAAAAAGCGAGCACTTAATGCTCTAACAGCGCCGCTTTTTCTGCTGCCTTTAGGGACTCTGGAATAATAAACTCCACCTGTAAAAGTGTTGAGGACCTTTCGGACATTCTTCATTCTACCTGCACTGATATTTTGGACTCGATTTAGGACTGTGTGCACTAAGCAATTATCAGAGCCGTGGTTGAATGAACATACGCGCTCCCTTAGACGTGACTATAGACACGCCGAAAGATGGAAAAAGGACAGATTGCACGTTTCTCTATAGATTTTCTCGTCTTTCTGCTCACCAAGAAGCTGTAAAAACCGCAAAGACACAGTTTGTCTCAAACTTGGTGTCAGTAAACAGTCACAGGCCTCAGGTACTTTCTAATGTCCTTAATGGTTTTCTTAGTTCACGTGATAATGCTGGAGTCATTTCTTCACCAAGTATTTGTGATGATTTTTTAGAATTTTTTAACAACAAGGTTCTATCCATCAGGGCTGTTGTCTCGTCTGCTGCCTCAGATCCGAGTCTTTCTCCTGTGTGCTCAGCTGTCTTTGATCCCGTCTCCCTTAATGACTTGACTGCGGTAGTTAGTAACCTAAGATCATCACACTGCCCCTCTGACTGTCTCCCCCCAAGCTTGCTTAAAAGCACTTTTAATACTGTCGGGCCTTTTATCCAGAGATTAATTAATACGTCCCTTGCTACAGGCTGTGTCCCATCATGCTTTAAGAGATTTAAAGGGATCTGCCCTAAAGTGGTTTCGGTTCCACTTGTCAGGAAGGTCTTTTTATGTCAATATGGGCCCCCATAAATTCAAAATAGCCCTTCTTAAATACGGTGTACCTCAAGGCTCTATTTTGGGCCCTGCCCTGTTCGCCCTCTATTTGTTGCCATTGGGCTCCATCTTCTCACGGTACAGCATTTCATTTCATTAAATTTCTAAAGCTAAATGAAAATAAAACTGAAGTTGTCATTTTTGATAGCTCTCTGGGCCCCTTTTCCTCCTACTGTAAAACACATGTCAAAAACCTTGGCGTCTACCTTGATGGTTCTTTTAAATTGAATAAGCAGGTGAGTGCAGTAGTTCAGTCCTGCTTCTTTCAGTTAAGACAGCTGGCCAAGGTAAAGCCAGACCTCCCAGCTAACGTCTTTCAATGTGTTATTCACATTTTCCTTACTTGCAGGTTGGACTATTGCAATTCATTGTATTTTGGTCTAGACCAGGCCTCCATCCATCGTCTTCAGATCCAGCTGCTCACCTGCTAACTGGTACCAAACGGAGCGAGAATATAACCCCAGTTTTAGCTTCTCTACACTGGCTTCCTGTCTCCTACAGGATCCAATTTAAACTTTCACTTGTTTGTTTTTACGTGTCTGAGCTCCTCTCTGTTTATGCTCCAGGAAAAACCATCATGTCTAGCTCAAGATTAATGCTTTCCATCCCACGGACTAGTCTCAATCTCGTGGTGATGGAGCCTTCTCTGTGGCAGGTCCCAGACTTTGGAATAGTCTCCCCCTAAATATTAGATCTGCACAAACACTTGACCAAATTTAAATCACTAGTAAAGACACATTTGTATGCCCTGGCTTTTAACACACTATGACCCAAGCATTCTGGTCTTATTTTAATATTCTTAGTTATTGTTTTAATTATTTTATTGTCCTATCATTGTGTGATATTGTTATTATTGTTTTACATTGTCTCTTTTAATGGCATTTTATATTGTTAAGCACTTTGTGCAGCATTGTTTGTCTGGAAATGTGCTATACAAATAAATTTGACCTTGACCTCTCTCAGGGTCACAGGTCACAGGTCAGACTGACTACTTTTTCTTTTGTACAGTCTGATACCTTCTCCAAGTCCACAAAACACGTCGTCTGGTTGGATAGACCCCCATGCACCCTCAAATATCCCCGCGAGGGTAAAGAGCTGGTCCGGTGTTCCACGACCGGACGAAAACCGCATTGTTCCTCCTGTATCTGAAGTTTGAGAAACGGATGGATTCTCCTTTCAAGAACCCTGGGAGGCTGAGGTGCTATAGTGGGAGAACACCCTCCAGTCTCCCTGTTTAATGATAGGAACCACCACCCTGGTTTGCCAATCTAGAAGTACTGCCTCTGGATTGCCAAGCAATATTGTAGAGGCGTGTCAACCCGCACAGCCCTTCAACACCCAGAGCCTTGAGGAACTCAGGATACACCTCATCGACCCGGCTCTGCCTCCAAGTTGTTGTTTAACTGCCGCAGTCTGCTTCCTCTATGAAGGACGTGCTAGTGGGATTAGGGAGGTCCTCAAAGTTTTCCTTCCACAGTGTGACAATATGTTAAAAGCACCAAACACAGTGTTGATAAAGCACTGCTTCCCCCTCCTGAGATACCTGACAATTTGCCAAAATTGCCTTGAGGCAGTCTGAAAGTCTCGTCAAACTCCTCTCCTCCTCCTCTCCTCTGCTTGGTGTTTCCAGAGCACCGTCACTACACGTTCAGTTGCGCCAGGTCTGTCCAGCATCCTTCAGAGAACTTCTGGAGACTGCACAGAGACCTGCCATCTTCAGAGGTTTTCTGATGACTCTGGGATGGCTGGATGCATCACTGAGGTTGATAAGATGGAGTCCCGGGCTGTGGTTGACTCCTTTGTCACGTGGTGCGAGTAGAAAGACTAAAGAATTGACTGTGGACTTTAGGAAGACCAGGAAACCTTGAACCCTGTTACAATCCAGGGGGTTGATGTGGAGATTGTGGAGCACTATAAATACATTGGAGTGCACATAGATAATAAACTGGACGGGGTCTAGAACACCACTGCACTTTACAGGACGGGCCGGAGTCGTGTCTATTTTCTGAGGCAGCTGAAGTGTTTAAAACATCATCTTTGTGACCATCTTTGCCATCCTCTATGCTGTTACATGCTGGGGCAGCAGCTCTGTAGCTAACCACCATGTAGCACATTTTTTGTATACTTTATTAATCCCCTGTAGGGAAATTATTCTCTGCATTTAACCCATTCACTCAGTGAAGCAGCTAGCCCAGCTAGCCCAACCTCAGTAACCCTACAAACGCCACTGCTGTTTAGTCTTAGTTTATGTTATAGTGATAGCAGAGCTGTACGACTACATTTTTCGAAAATCAAAACATGGTATTTTATTTAATCTTAATTTTTGGGGGGAAACTTCCCTCATACCACTAGAGGGAGCCCACGTACCACCAGTGGTATGCGTACCACAGTTTGAGAACGACTGCTCCAGAACATACGGCCTCAGACCTGATGATGCGATTACAAAATCGATCATTGAGCTGCAGCCTAGGATGTCCTGGGGCCATGTGCACGTATGGACACCGTAATGATGGAAGATGGTCTTTGTTATGGACAAACTGTTTGCACAGAAGTCAGATAATACAACACCGCTTGGGTGCAGATAAGGCAGACCATTCCTCCCAGTTACACCCCTCCAGGTCTCACTGTCGTTGCCCACATGAGCCTTGAAGTCTTGAAGCACTTACTTCTAACTGAAGGACTCTGTCTCTAGGTTTTTGTGTGGTGCCCTTGGCCTGTTGAATCCAGCTGTGGGCTCCTCCGCCATCTCCGAAATGTGTACCGACGATAAGGCTGTAAACCTACAGATCACACACAAAACTGTCAGCGAGTCACTGCGGAGCTTCTGGATCACTGTTCTAGTGCTTTCTGTTCAGCCACACCGGAGGGTTTTTGAGTATGAAAGGCCCGTTAAACGTCAAGCCAAATTTAAGTACGGACTTTGACTAAGCCACTCAAAAACCTTTTGTTTTTTAACCACTCAGCCGTGGAGTTGTTGGTGTGTTTCCAATCACTCTCGTGCTGCAGAGCCTTTGTGTGCTTGAACGTCAAGAAACAAACTGATGGCCAGAATTGTGTGACTTGATTTTGGCACTGGAAAACAAACTGGTATAGAAGGATAAGATAAAACTTAAAAAGCAAACGTTAATAATACAAAAATGTTGTTTTTAAAATACATTTATACATTTATTTATTTTTACTTTTGTGCAAAACAGTTTCTTTTTATGCTCCGTGGAACTCCTCTGGCATGTTTGGGAGGGACTGAGAGGAGGGGCTTCACAGGTGTAATTTGCACAGATCGTGGACATGACCAGCGATCCATCTTTACTGAACAACTTTGTAATGGACGTTTGATCTCGGGATATTTCTTTGCTCTTTCCAGCTTCAATCCAGCACTTGAAGCTGGGTTGGCTTAAAGACATTTGCTCTAAACTAGCTTATTAATTGCACACACATTTGCAGGAGTATTGTGTGAGCTAACTGGATTCCCTGCAGTGCAGATCCTTCTTAAGAGTTAGAGACCAGTGTGTTACTGGAATCCAGTTCCCCTCTGCAGCCACATGCTAATGCCTGACTGAAGGAAGCTGTCCATCCTCTGACTCCCTCTCAGGACACTAACAGAGTTCTTTAAAGTACTAAAGCTAACAATGCAACAATGTACTCATGAACACACCAGCACAACATACTGTCTGAATAGTAGTTGAAATAACTGAGAAGGTGTTTCAGGTGATATGGATGAGTTATCTGGTGGATACAGAAACTGCAGTTTCTCATCAAAGCAGAACACAATGATTACAACAAACATTAAGCAACAGCTGTTCATGAGTTTACTGCACCAATGCCATCCAACCCTTCACTTAATTCAGGATTATATTGTATGATTATTCAAAAGCATCACAAAAACTTTTTGATGAATTTTGAGCATCACCTATCATTTAGTTTACAACTTTATATTTGGATTTATCCTTTTCATTTCTTTAAACTTCAAAAAGTCTTGAAGATTCATGTTTACCTTCCCAGACTTTTACCTACTGTAATTATTTTGTAACTGCCTTCTGGGCATTATGAAGGTTTTGTCCTTTGCACGTTGGCTGCTTTTTAAATTGATTTTGTAATGGGATGGGAAAATGACCATAGTACCTCGGAAAAAACAAACCCAAAAGAGTCGCATGACATATTATAAAATAACAGCAATTTTCCTGAGCTGAGGCGAATTGAATAAACCAAACAGAGTGAAGACTTTCTGTTAGTAATGGTAAATCACCTCTGCGAGGCTCACTGGAGTGTTGAGCAGAAGCTTGGCTATGGAGTCAGACAAGGAAAGGTTCTTGATCAGGAACTGTTGGAAAACGGATTCATTCTTCAACACGCTGGCCAGAGTGAAGCCTGCACCCAAAACACATGAAATCATGTCAACGCTTTCATGTCATTCAGTAAAACAAGAGTTTTGAAAGTAACACGTATATATGTATGATGTATGATCGAGACGTTCTACTACTGCACTCAGAGGAAACGAGTTTCTTCTTCTCGAGCGCCATCATTCTGCTCATGGCTCTCCTGCTACATAAGATTAGATTCCCAACTGTGCGTATGTTGGTTTGAAATTTCACTGTGGAGCTAAACTGAGTTCATCTTCATTTTGAGGGTCATCACTGGAAGAAGCAAACACACTGTGGCTTGTCCCAATGCAGGATCTTGCACCGACTCGCTAACACTGTCCTCTTTCTCAAAAGGAAATTCAAAACACAAGAACTGTTCCGAAATGGTGAAGCACAGACTTCCACAAAGCAACAGTCAAACTGGATTTAGTACAGCTGGAAGTCACTGTGACGCTGCTATTGATCAACTATGTTGCTGCCATCCCATGATCAATATCTCAGTCTTTCCTTTTATTTATATTTTTGGTCTCAGTGGAATTACCATCCCCACCCTAAATGCCCATAGCCCCTCCACCCTTATTTATTTATGATATCATATAACTGCTTGTGTACAGCCCCACACTGTGTCTGTTTCAATGTTTCTATATAGTTTACTCACATATATGTATACATATATATTGCTTTTTCCTTGTTGTATATTGTTTTCTTTACTTTGCACCTTTGCGGTCCAGCTATCTAATTTCGCTGTACAAGAATCCGCACAATGACAACAACAGCTCTAAAGTCTAAAGTGTAAAAGTCCCACCTTGGCTGTTGTTAAAGTTGTGGTCATGTGGTAATGGGGTGGAGCTGAGGCTCTCCAGGTGCTGCTGCAGGGTCTCCAGCTCTTGACCTAAACCAGGTCTATCAGATGTGAAGAGCTGATTCTGTTCAACCACTTCACTTATCCGCTCCAGCAGCTGGGTCACACTGAAACAGATTCAGACATGAAACATTCTCACACAGTCTCTCTACAGGCTGGAGCTAATGACGGGTTCTGTAATATGGTGACTTTTTAGTGCCTGCACATAAAAACAGTGTTGTACATGTTGCCTCAGCAGAAAATATGCTACGTTTATGATCTTTCACATCTAAAATAACTATTAACATAAATAAAAATGTATAATGTTGTAACATTCTAGCAACATTGATCACAAAAGTGATTCAAGCCTCTTCAGCTGCAGCAAGGCCTAGTTTCAGTGCTGGGAAACGTGAGGGGCTTGGGGGGGTCAGAGGCCTTTGCACTGGAACCATCATATGTAGAAGAACTGACCTTAGAGTGCGCTCGAGAAGCAGTGAACGTATTTCTCACAATTAAGCCAAAACACAAATGAACAAGAGACTGTGGAAGAGCCCTACTCACGTGGAGTTCTTATATTGCAGGAAACCAAATTCATCTCTCTGTCCATCTGGGCAGAGCGACTGCATGATGGGAATGATGCCAGCCGAGGTGAGCGGCGCAGCGCTGTAAAAGGCTGGACATGGGGGGGGGGGGAAATGGGACAGGTGCCACAGAAGGAGAAAAAGACACAGCCACAGACAGAGTGAGGGACGAGGGAAACAGAGGAAGTAAATATGAAGGGTTGGTAAAGGAAATCAGACACCAAACAGGACAATGAGTATGGAAAAGGAGAAGGAGAGATTGTGTTAGAGTCAGAAAGGAGGAAAGCTGTCAGGCAGCACAGCAGTTAATGGCCAAAGAGGCTCCCACATGTCAATGCTGAATATGAAGCCTTTCATCATGTTGTCATGGTCTGTGATATTTTCCCACTTCTGTCCATAAATGCTAGCTGGACCATCTCACAGCCGGTGATAAAAGAAAATTTGGTTCCTGCTAATTGCTCCAGGTTTCCATGGTTACTCTGCTCCTGAAGCTTGCCTGTGGGTGTGGATTCATCCTACCCACAGAAACACTTCCCACTGTCCTCCTGCTCACTCTCATATCTGTATTGTCCAGCTATGCCATTCTTACACTTTCTCTTTCTTACCACATGTTTATAACCACTCTGCATGTCTTTTATCCTGTTCTCACCCCAACCGGTTGCGGTCGGCCGCCCCTCCCTGAGCCTGGTTCTGTCTGAGGTTTCTTCCTGTTAAAAGGGAGTTTTTCCTCTTTTTTCCTTCCCCAAAATGTGCTAGCTCATAGGGGTGGGGATTCTTCTGGTTGTTGGGGTTTCTCTCTATTATCGGAAGGTCTTTACCTGGAAATATAAAGCACCTTGAGGTGACTGTTGTTGCAATTTGGTGCTATATAAATAACAGTGAATTATATTGAATTGAACTTCTCTCTTTAACGGTTGCCTTCGGCTGTCGTAGTCTCTGGATTGCATACTCTTACACCTGCTGCCCTCATAAAGAAAGGTGTCTATTGCCAGCTTCTAGCCTTCGTTGTTTTACCCTGGTGTCACTGCAGGTCTAAAGCTGAATGTTTCATTTGTATTGTATTTAAAAGTTTACGTTTAGGGAAATCTCCTGAAACACTAGGCTTTATAGCCACAAAAAGTCAAAAAGAAAAATGTAAACTAAGTCACTTCACAGAATATCATGGTGGGTTGAAGACAAACCCACAGTGAAATATGTTTTCATTTGTAACAAACTGAGTCTGACCAAGAACAAGCATCGTTCAATGTCTTGCTCCACCCCTTTATCCTTTTCCTTGTGTGTGCCCAAATACACTCTGCAGCATTAAAATAAACTACCGGACTGATTATAGTAAAAACTATCATCATCATATTATGATTGTTTTGGCTAAAAATAGTTTTTCCAGAATAGTTTTTTTAACCTGACCCACTAAACATCGGACGTAAGATAGATAAACAAACACGATTTATTCTGTGTTACTCAAATTATTCACAACATGTGGGGTTTTGTTTTGTTTGTTATTTTAAGTTTTCCAGTTTTTCCTTAACTGGTTTATTTATTTTAATTATTCAAAATATTTGTTTGTAATTAGGTTAAAACGACCATTTATTTAAAAAATGTGAAATATTAAAAACATTGAAATCCATCCAAAAAGGTTGATTCTGTTCATCTGGACGTCTTCAGAGGGAGAAATGTTTCATCATCATCCAGGTGACTTCTTCAGGCTCAGCTGACTGCAGGTTTCTCATAAACAGTACATTTGCTTACTGTTTCAGGACAGTGCCCTCTACCTGTGGAAACATGGGACTACAGAGCCTATACAGGTGGAAGCTTTATAAAAACTCCATCTAATTAAGTCTAAGTTTGACATTGAAACAACGTCCACAGCCACCAGATTTGGACTATAAAAAGCCCGTCCACAGAGGTCCTACTGACATCAACACTAGAAGTGTAATAGATGTATAAAAAACGACGTCACCTGGAGCTACAAAACAACCTCGTCAGTGGACTAAAATCGTATGTCCAAAATGACATAAAAGATGTCCCTTTGACGCAGTGGGAACATTTTAACTACACAAAAAGCTGACTTTTACAGATGTTCACTTTTCAAATGAAAAATCAATGAAACAAAAGGTGGAGAAACTATGGAGTCCCCCTTAAACTCATGACTGCATTTAACTGCCAGTCCACAGGTTGTGTGGAGATCACAGGGTCAATACGAGATCCAGGCAACAGCAAAGATTGTCTTTACATGTCACAGGTCACCAAGTATATATAGAATCATTTATTCAGTGACGAGTCCACAGTGAATAATGCCATCGTGCATTTCTATAATGGAAGTGTGAAAATATAAGTAAAATGTGCCCTACAGAGTAGTTCAGTTCATTCTTCAGCTCACTGACATCTGTCCTCTCTGATCAGGTCACAGGCTGGTAGATTTACTGAGGGAGTGTTAGGTGCACAGCATGGTGTAGGAAACAGAATTAGCATGCACTAAACAGCAGCTCATTAAGTTTTCATAGCCTGGTCAGAAACACTGAACATGGTGAAAAGATTCAACAGTAATTACAGAAATATTTGTTAGCGCTGTCGTGGATTAGATTACTTCTCGTAATTCCATTGGATAACAATACAGATGTGCTTCTCTGTGTCCGCCAACCAGCAGTGTGCATCACAGTGCTGGTTCTGAGGTGACCTGAGCGGAGCACACTCACAGGAGCCAGGTGAGCTTTTTTACCTGAGTGCACGCACTGAATTACAACCCAGATAATTCAGGAGCTCATGAGATAAAAAGTAAGATGAACTCCCTTCATTACCTTTTTTTGTTTTGCATCTTATAAAGTTGAAAACGTTCCAGCGAGCAGGCGTAAAGTCCCGACTGAGAACGGTAACATCCACTATGCTAGGACTACACTAAAAGCATCATGTTGGGGACTGAAGTTACTCTGCAATCCAAGTTTTAGACATCAGACTCATCTGCACTCACGTTTTACCGACTCTGTATGTGCTGAGCTCATTCATTTATGCACCTGGAGCAAATACATCATGCTTGTTATTCATGTTACTTTAAAAGGCACTGTTGGAATTATCCGTACCGGCTCCTGACTGGGCAACAATACTGTTTACCATCTAATGTGTTGAGTAGCCTGTAAATGTGTCCAATGTACAGATTCAGAGGGAATATGAAACTGGCTTTTTCAATCTACATCCTTTGGTTTTGTGAGTAGTGTGCCCAACTGCAACCACAACTATAAACACCAGTGTGTGTGTACACCTGATCATTAGTTTCCTTTATGAGACATGATTATACATCACTACATTTAAGATGCATCAAACTTGGCTGCCTGTTCAGTCTTTTTCTCTGTGGTGCATTTAAAATGCTCCATTTACAGTTAAACCATGAATTCGTTTCTTGACTTTGTATCAAAAATCAACCTTAAGAGATAACAGAAGGGACAGTTTAAGATGATCACTCAAACAAATCTGACAGCAATCTAAATCAAAGTGAAAGAAATCTCCAACAGCCAAAGAATCAATCCGGGTCCCGGGAAGAGCTCGGCCTTCCAATATACAGAGGATATGTTATATAATCTGTTAGCATAAAACAAATGCACAATGACACTTACACACTGGTCCATCCAAAATGTTGAGAACATGCATCATGCAGAAGAAAGAAAGGAAGACAGAAAAAAGAAAGAAAGAAATGTAAAATAAAAGAATAAAAGACAAAGAAATCAAATAAACTGGGTGCTCTGGTGGCTACAGGGAACAGTTACACATGAAAAACCAGCTAACAGCTGAGCAGACACATCACTAGGAGATGAACTACGAACACAAAAACAGGAAATGTTGCAAAAGTTGATCTCATACTTTTGGTGGATCGAGTGGGAGGACAGTATAAAGGGTCCATATAAGACTAAATTAGCTGCTGGTATGATGCTGCAGGTATTACTGTCGGCTGGTCTGCAGCTTCCTTTCCAACGTTTTTTATTTAGTAAAAGCAGTTTGATGTTGCATGTTTTACCTTTGAAGGCAGTGAGGAGCAGCAGCTGCTGCCTCACCACGAAGCAGGAGCTGAATATTGATATCAAGTTTACTTAAGTTCCTCCTGGTAATAGTACTGACCAAAAATGAGGAGTATTAAGGCAGTGCACATAACTCCACCCCCTTTATGGTAAACTTAAGCCATAAATAGAAACACATTTATTCTAGTCAGTATTGGCCACTTCACTGGCAACCCTCTGCATTCACCGCACTGGCATACTTTATTCTAAGGCTGCAATGATTCATCGAGTAATTAGAGTAACTCAATTATACAAAATCCTCAGTGCTGTGTTTCATGCACGACCGTGTTCAGTCATCATCGTGTAAAAACAAGTTTCGCCCACATAAAAAAATATGTATAATATATATTAGGGATGCACCGATACTGGTATCGGGGCCGATACTGTAAAATGTGTGTGTACTCATACTCGTAAAAGTTAACCGATACCAACTTATTTCATTAATCAGAGGGTGGCATGTCATTTCTGTTGTAGTTTTTCCCGCGCTAAACAGGCACAGGGTTAGACGAGTCAGACTGGCAGCTCCAGATAAAAAAAGAGAAACTGGAGGCTGCTGTAGCTAGGCTAAACAAAATGTCAGCAGTGTGGATCGGAACAGCCAACTTTAACTCAGGTTTTGGAAAAGCGATGAAAAATGTCAAGAGAAAATCCACGGGCAGTTAAAACAACAGAGGCTCTGACTCATTTTATCGCTCTGGATGACCAGCCAATGCTGGCCGTGGAAAACATAGGATTGCAACGTCTTCTCAGCATACTCGAGTTGCAATATGAAATTCTCAACCGCCTACACATCAGGGAGATAAAGGTGCCAAAACTCTCTAAAGAGGTAAAGACAAGCAGTGTGTGCGCGATGTCAGTCCTTGATTTAACGGCACAGTGGACTGATGATCCACGGGCAGATGGGGAGTTCGTTCGTCAATGCCAAATACTTTCGTTATTTCGTTTGTTTGTTTACAATATGGACACTCTGCAACAATTTAAAAGTTTATTTTATTCTCAAACCTAATTTATATTTATTTTATTCCAAACAGAAGTGTTCATTTATTATTCCGAAAGCTCGAGACAGTGCCAATAGTTCAGTGATATTTTGTTAAATTACAATGTGGAGACTCTGCAATAATTTAACAGAAGTGCTTATTTTTCACTTGAAATTTTTTGTGGTC